CTTGTGGACTTCAACTCCCAGAATTCCTCTGGGAGTTGAAGTCCACAAGTCTTAAAGTTGCCAAGGTTGGACACCCCTGCCTTAGGCAATGAAATCAACTGGATGACCTTGGGCCAGTCACTTTCTCTGCTCCAGGAAGAAGGCAATGGCAAACTGCTTTGGAAAATCTTGCCAAAAAACCTGTAAGGACTAGTCCAGACATTTTCTAAGTCAAAAGGATGGCAGATTTCAAATGTAAATCCATCCCATTCCCATTCCAAGCAGAAAGTAAAGATACAATTGAGAGAGTTTCTGGGTTTGTGGTAATGTATTTGTTTGTTTACAGTATTATAAACTCTCCCAATCCCAAAGATTGGATGGTGTGCATCAGAGGTGGTATTCAGCAGGTTCTGACCAGTTCTGGAGAACCGGTAGCAGAAATTTGGAGTAGTTTGGAGAACCGGCAAATACCACCTCTGACTGTCTCTGCCCCCATCTATTCTCTGCCTCCCGAGTCCCAGCTGATCGGCTGGGTCTTCTTTTGTTGCCCTGCACAGGAGAAAGGAAAGCAGATTAGTGGGGTGGGGAGGAAATGGAGATTTTACAGTATCCTTTCCCTGCCATGCCCACCAAGCGACTGCCCACAAACTGGTAGTAAATTTTTTTGAATCCCACTACTGGTGTGCATCAACATAAGGAATAAAATGTGATGTCAAACAGAAAATATAGAACAAACCTGAATAAAAATAATTAAAGTAACAAGATGGCTAAAAAGACTAAGATAGATGTCCACAGATCAGATCAGATCGACTGAGGCTAAAGATTCCTTGGAATAATGATTTCAATTGTTTATGAAATGCTAGGAATATAAGGGAGAATATACAGTACTTCTGGTTGAAGGGTATCACATACAGTGGGGGCAATTGATACTTTGGATGCTGGATAAAGCCTGATTAAAAAATATTTCCAAGGGAAATTTAACAGCAGAAAAGTTCTCCCCACACCTCTTTTAAAATATTTAAATATAGCAAATGTGCTTTAATCAAGCAGACTATTGACTCAGGATGGTTAGTTCTGAAGCCATAAACACCCTGAAAGATGACTAGAGTTTAAGAGCTTTGTTAGTCAGTTGTACAAACTCCAGCCTCACCCTACATAACCCTGATTAGCAGAACACTGTCAGTGGAATATCAGTGCAGAGTCAGAAGAATGGGGAAAATGCCTAATATCTTCACACAAGTGCTGCAGTTTACTTACTTGCATCAGATGACCAGACTCAAGTACAAAATGGCAATAGCCACCTGATGACACCATTTTGAAAGTATCACAATTGTGGAAACCACTCCTCCTATATGCAAGCCACATGTTCTTGTCCAGCTTTTTCCTTTAAATAATTCTTTGGAAGGAAGGCTATATGGAAATAATATTTAGGAGATATAGAATGCTATTAAAACAGTCGATTTTATGTACGTTTAATATAATACTTATTATTTTTTGCTTAATCACGGGCCCCCTATAACTCAAAACAAGTATTTTTATTGCATGGAATATTTTTACAACCTCCAGTTTATTTACAAGATAAAAATGTTGTAATCCTCTATTAATTTCACAAGAAACATTGAATCTAATGGCATAACAACATGCATAATTTGTTGTAATCTTCTAACCCTGTTTTACATCAGGGATTGGAGTTGATATCATTTTGATCAGTATGTATAATGATGCATATGGATTGGGTAATAATATTCTAAGGGGGATGTTTTTTGAAGATTATTCTTCTTAAATCAGATCTTGCCTGGTCTCTCTCTCTCTCTCTCTCTCTCTCTCTCTCTCTCTCTCTCTCTCTCTCTCTCTCTCTCTCTCTCTCTCTCTCTCTCTCTCTCCACCTCTCCCTCTCCCCCCCACCTTACAGTATTGATTTGTTAATACACCATCTCTGTGTAAAATATCTAGGGAGGGAAAGCATTTCTTCTCTTTTCTGTAGACATAACTTGAAACAACGCTATAGAATATCCATTCACATGTGGATTAAGCGATAACAAATTGATTAACATCTCAGCAATTGACACAGTTTTCATTTTAAAAGATAATGGGAATAGTTAAAGAGTTTCTTGGGTAGTTAATGGTCAGATCATTGTTTACTTGTCCAATTCTTCATTTTCAAATAGATCTCTAATGAATGCTTGCATAATTATAGTCCCTTGTAATCATGACCTTCAGCATTTGGCTGGCCACTAAATAATGTAAAATCTGAATCAGGCTCTCAGCCTCTGCTTCTTTGAAAACAGGAAAACATTTATCCTCAAACTTTAAACAAGATTGTAACATGATAATATAGAACAACAGCTGCGCAATACTTCAGATTTGAAGGTCAAATGGTGCTTCAGAGCATGCAGGGGTACAAGTATTGAATAACCTGCTATGGGTACATACTGTATCTGTGCCCTGAAGCCTTTTTTGCTTTCTAATCCACAGCCCTAAATATTAGATACTGTAAAATTACCACATATTATTCTGTTCTCAATCTGTGGCAACCATATTTTTATTTTAGTTCTACTTAGAAGAAAACCAGAGGAGATCATTGTGATCACAGGGATGATATGCAGAAGATGAAGCCAGGATAGAATTGTAGCATTTTAGGGGATTTAGAGGTTCCTAGTTGTTAGCCACTCAGAATTGCTTAAAATGGGTGGGCCATATACATATTTTGAATACATCAATAAATATATTTGGAGACAATTTATTCATGTTTAATTTTTAGATTTCCAAGTAGGACTGGAAAAGACCCCACCAGGAGATACTTAAAAAAAATCCACCTCTTTAGCTTGGTTTTATTTGTACTAGATAAAAGAAATTATCTGCTATGTAAAAGTCATATTACTACCTTCTAACATGGCTGTAAAGTTACTTCTTGGTAGCATTTTCTAGAGATATTTTATTTATTTATTTATTTATTTGATTTGCCAATTGTTTACAAGATAATAAGTATAAGTGTATACATAGTTGTGAATACATGAAATGGGTACATATAAGAAAAATAAAAGAAGAATAAGAGAAATAGGACAGGGACGGTAGGCACGTTGGTGCGCTTATGCACGCCCCCTACAGACCTCTTAGGAAAGGGGTGAGGTCAATAGTAGACAGTCTAAGGTTAAAGTTTTTGGGGTTTGGGGAAGAAACTACAGAGTCGGGTAGAGTATTCCAGACATTGACCACTCTATTGCTGAAGTCGTATTTCCTGCAATCAAGTTTGGTGCGGTTAACTTTGAGTTTGTATCTATTGTGTGCTCTTGTGTTGTTATGGTTGAAGCTGAAGTATTCATTGACAGGTAGGACATTGCAATGTATGATTTTATATACCATGCTTAAATCAGACCGAAGACGGCGTAATTCAAGGTTTTCTAGTTCTAGAATTTCAAGTCTGGTGGCATAAGGTATTCTACAACGAGTAGAGGAGTGGATATGTAACCTTGCTTGTAACTTGAGCAAAATACTGTTCTAACTTCATGTTCTGTTCAATCAGAATGTTGCAAGTCAGAGCTTACAATACAGTTTAGGAGGTATTCACATAGGTAAAAGGTCTGAATATTAATATTACAGATGTCTAGATTATTTCTTGCATATATTTTGCAAAAATGTTTTGCCAATTTCTTCCAGCTGCCTGAATAATTTCTGCAGCTTCTTTCAGTACACTAAAATTCACTATAACTCTTTACCTTCTGCTGCTTTAGGTTCTCCACAAGATATAGCTGCCGTAAGAAATCAGACTGCTCTTCAAAGCATGAGGACTTCCCGAATGATACCTCAGAATGCTAGTATGATGTCTTTGGGGGCTTCTCAGAACACTGCAGCAATCTCTGCAACAGGTAGCCAGACTGAGATGGGGATGACTCCTTACAGCAGCCCAGTGACTGGCCAGCCAGGGATGTACAGTATGAACTCAGGAATGAGCCAAATGTTGCAGCACCCAAACCAAAATAGTATAAATATAACACACAATCCAAGTCAGGGGCCAAGGCAGCCTAGCTCAACACAAGGAGTTGGCATAGTCAGCAGCTTTGGTCCAAATGTTTTAGTAAACTCTGCTGTAGCTCAACAACATCAGCAAATGAAAGGACCTGTGGGACAAGTTATGACCAGAACACAAGCCCCCAGGCTTCAAAATATGATGGGCCCAGTCCCACAAGGAACGGCAAACTGGCAGGCAAGAGGACTGCAAGGTATCCCGGGAAGGACTAGCAATGAAATCGGACCTTTCAACAATGGATCTGCTTACTCAATGCAATCAAGTCAGCCAAGGCTGCCTAAGCAACATTTTCCTCAAAGTGTTGGTCAATCTATAATGGACACAAATGGAACCGTACGGACACTGAACTCAGGTGTAGGGAGACAGATGTTGCAACAACTCCCTGGACAACAAGGAACCAATAATCAATCCAGATCAATGGTTATGCCTACAATAAGTCAGGCAGTTTCTTCTCTAACTGTTTTTAATCAGTCATCTGCACAACAAATACCAGGAAGTAGCTTCACTCAGAGCAGCCAAGGTCAGATCTATGAGAGGAATCCCACTCAAGACATATCTTATAGCTATAGCAGTGAAGGAACTGGAGGATCTTTTCCAAATATAACTGAAAACTCTGATCTTGTAGACTCCATCATTAAAAGTGGTCCAGGAGATGAATGGATACAAGAACTTGATGAACTGTTTGGAAATCCATAGCACATGGAGATGTTCAGTTCCAATATTTGTGGGGTCAAAAAAGGAAAGCAGGATGATGTCCATCCTTGTTTCTTTGTTTTGTTTTTAAAGCTGTGCAAAGCTAGCTGATCTGTGAAGGCATAATTGGAATTTGAAGCAATGACAAAAAGTCCTTGCCAACTTCCCACGGCAGTCTCCATGCCATAGCGTATCTGCTGCAGGTCAGAATGAGAATGAGAGAGAGAAAGAGAGAGAGAGAGACTGAGAGAGCGAGAGAAAGAAAAGCTCAAAAAGTGCTGCTTTCTGCCTATGGGCCACAGAAAGTGTCAGGCAGTTCCCATGTGCCACAGCACTGGCTGTCCTATAACAATGCACTTTGTATGCAGTTCTCTAAGAGCTGTTGTAGTTTTCAGGATACAGAACAGGCGGCTTCTGAGATAAAGCAGGAGAATCAAAGGTAGGCGGACTGTACAAGTGACAAATACAAAGATCTTAACTCTGAATTTAATAAATACCAAGCTTTTCCATGCAATGTGTGTAATCTGATAGAGAATTACATAAAGGTTGTTTGAATGTGGTGATGACAATGATACCAGAGCTGAAGGAGTTCAGTCAGTGCCCTATCAATGCTTCTTAAGGTGCATGATGGATTCTAGTAAAAGAGTTTATCTTTTCTCTATTGTCCATTTCCTGCATAATCAAATGATTCCTGACTCATTATCTTTACGTGTGAGGAAAAACACAGTGTAGGACAAGCAGGATTGTATAATAATTGTATTACTCACTGGCTGCCTCCAAAGATAGTGATGCTATACAAAAGTAATTGGAAAAAGGGAGATAGGTCTAAGGAAATGAAATTATTGATATGGAGTGTGTTCTTTTTCTGAACATACAGGATAAAGTGAGGTTGCGCTATACAAACTGTTGGCTTGATCTTCCAAAGACATCAGGAGAATCAAGGAGCAACTGCTCTTAAGACCACACAGATAGGGGCCAATAACTGTATTGGCTGTCATATATAGTACACTGAGCACCCCTATCAAAACACCCTTGACAGATTGAGAGTGAGTTTATGGTCTATGTTCTTCAAACACATGCCCTCTTTTCTACACTTCCTACTTTCTACAAGCCCTAAGCTCTTTAAAATGATGACTAAGCTGATCAACGAAAAACAATTTTTTTAAAAAAAATTAAAATCCATTGATGTAATTTTAGTAGCAGTTGTATATAAGCATTTGACATTGCAAATATTTTTCATAGACTTGTGCAATTTGAAGTACTAGAATTTAACTGCAATTCTTTTAGGTCCTTTTAAGAGTTTAGATTGGCATTATTTGTAACATTGGAAATTGAATGTGTGACCACCTATCTGTAAGTTGAACGTGGGGTTCATGTTAAATACATCCACATAGAGAGCATTCTCAGGGTCTGATTTATATGTTTCTCTTACATACAATTTTCCATCTGAGCTGTTTTGTTTTTAGAGATAACATTTTTTGGTAGAGTAGCAGCAGATAGTGAGGGGACTTTACTATTTCTGCAGCCATTCATTCTCTGGTTCATGACATTCTCTGATTGTATCTCTTACACATTTGCAGGATAAGATTACCATGCATATTGGAAGAAATGTTTCAGAAGGCTCAAAAAGCATGCAGAGAAACACTGAACACCTCATTTATCCATAATTTCCCTCCTCTAGAAACAGCTTTTCCTGAAAAATGAAGGAGGGAGGCAGGGTTTTAGTTACGTGTTATACTTAAAGTATATTTAGCCCATTTGTGTTGGGATATAAGATTTAAATGGAATGGGTCTAAAATTCCTGTACACAGGCGT